CAGGGAAACTGACCCGTTACTTTGTACATGTTGAGTGTGATGCTGGTAGAGAAAAAGGAAAACAATTAAATGTCAACACCTGGTTACAGTTCCTTTGAGATCACAACATATACCCATCTCTCTAAAGACCATACTATGTAGTGACTCAATTAGACATAAAAACAGTCTTTTTGATGTCTTACTTTCGTTCAAAGTTCCCAGGTTGGGGCTTGAAGAAGGACAGACCGTAGGACGTCTCTTTGGTGCCGTAGGAGAACTGGAAGTTCATCTTCTCTGCTCGACCTAAAACGTTGGGTAACTTCAGGCCCAGTACCTGAAAACAAAGCGGGTTTGATGATTACAGTTTCAATTGTGTATTCAGAAGCATCCTAACCTTTAAAAAGATCACATGCAAAAGACATTTGAACTCAAAAGGCCTCAACAAATAAACACATCGCGATAAAATAACCCAGTGCGACAAACTTAAATTCATATGAAATTATCTTTACAGAAGACATTGGTAATCCAGTTTATTTCATTCAAAATATGTTTATATGCAAGTATGCACATTAGGGTGGTCCTTAAAATTGAAAGTGGGAAAGTCTACGCTCCAACCCCCAGAATTCATTCTATTAGTCAAGAAAACTCTTCTGGTGAATGTGTTCCTCAATCTGACAACATGTACCCCTCCCTCATCAACCTTGAAGTGTAGCCTCAGTTGCAGCACCGTGGCTGCTGGTGTGGCAGCCCAGGTCCATGAGGGGGGGGTACATGTTGTCAGATTGAGGACAAAATTCAGCAGGAGAGTTTTCTTGACTAATAGAATGAATTCTGGGGGTTGGAGCGTAGACTTTCCCACTTTCAATTTTAAGGACCACCCTACGTGAGGCTAAACTTCAAGGTTGATGAGGGAGGGGTAAATGTTGTTGGAATTTGAATAAAATTCACCAGGAGAGTTTTCTTGGCTATCATAACAAATTCTGGGGGTTGGAGCTTAAAATAAATGAATTCTAAAATGTACATGGCACTAAGGACCACCCTAATGCACATTTATTTTTACAGCACATTTCAACAACAATGCAATTTATGTTTTTTACTTGTGTTTCTCTTTTTATCGTAAGATACTGTTATGTTTGGCTGTGAAAAATAAATATTAAGTAAAAATATTTTTTTAGAAAGGGGCAGGTCATATAACTTTATTTTTTTCTCCCTGCTCCTTTTTGATCAATGGTGTGTTTATAGAGACATGTTTTGTTAACAATTATTATACATTACGTTTTGCATACCATGAACGGAACAAATAAAAATGAAATGCAAAGTGCTTTAGTAAAAAACCTTGAGCATTAAGATATAGTGACATTTATCATATTGCTCACCATGCTTCCTTCATTGTTCCCGACCATGGTGTTGTAGCTGCCGGTCATCCGCCTCAGCTCGGTGACTTCAAACGTCACATCGAGGCCGTTAGGAAGAGCACCGTCACCTGAAGAGAAGAGAAAAAACATGCTTGTTTGGTTTAAAATAACAAGTCAGATATCTTGAGATTGTGTATGTAACAACTCTAGTCTGATATCAGTGCAGTGATTGGCTGTACCTCTCGATGTGTCAATAACAACTTCAACTTTTCTGAAGATACCGAGGCGCAGCAGCTTCTGTCGGGCTTCATGGGACTTTCGCATCACCTGCACAACAAATGAAGTCATGTTTTTTAATCCTGTTACAGTTACTCAGAGGCCTACAACTAAAGAATCATTGGGTAGTTCAGCTGTATCAACGTGCACCTACATCTATCAGGTTCTTTGCCCGGAAAACTTCTTTGATTTCGTACGTCAACAAGTCATCCTTCGTTCTTCCGAGCCCATCTATGTGGACTCGTTGAACGACAACCTGAGAAAGAGACAGGCAGCGTTAGGAATACAGAGAAGACAAAGAACAAAAATATGTATGATAATTTTGCAAATAAACACTTCTGGTGTATTTAATAATAATAATAATAATAATAATAATAATAATAATAATAATAATAATAATAATAATAATAATAATTCATTCTATTTAGAGGCGCCTTTCAAAGCACCCAAGGACACCTTACAATTCATAAAATATTCTAAGGAAAGGTTTAAGACAGTACAAAAGGACCGTGACACTGCAAACATCGCTGCAACAACCCGCTGCTGCAGATACACTCTTTACAACATCAGGAGGATACGTCCCCTCCTGACCCAGAAAGCCACGCAGGTTCTGGTCCAGGCTCTCGTCATCTCACGCCTTGACTACTGTAACTCCCTCCTGGCTGGTCTACCTGCATGTGGCATCCGACCTCTGCAGCTCATCCAGAATGCAGCGGCTCGTCTGGTCTTCAACCTTCCAAAATGTTCCCACACCACACCACACTGCTCCTCCGCTCCCTTCACTGGCTTCCAGTGACTGCTAGAATCCACTTCAAGACACTGGTACTTGCGTACCATGCTGTGAATGGATCTGGCCCTTCCTACATCCAGGACATGGTTAAACTGTACACCCCAGCACGTGCACTCTGCTCGGCATCAGCCAAACGGCTCGCTGCACCCGCACTGCGAGGGGGACCCAAGTTCCCATCAGTAAAAACACGTGGGTTTGCTATCCTGGCTCCAAAATGGTGGAATGAGCTCCCCATTGACATCAGGACAGCAGAAAGCTTACACGTCTTCCGGCGCAGACTGAAAACTCATCTCTTTCGACTCCACTTCGAGCGATAGAATTACTAACAAAGCACTTATATACTAACAAAGGACTGGCTTATCTAAAGCCAGTTGAGTAGCACTTGAAATGTATTGGCTCTATGAAACCTGATGTACTTATATGATTCTGTTTTCTTCAAGTTTGTATCTTCTTGGTCGAATGCACTTATTGTAAGTCGCTTTGGATAAAAGCGTCAGCTAAATGCAATGTCATGAAATGTAATGTAATAGGGAACATGTAGGGAAACAGGAGACATGTAGCACTACAGTGAGTAGGCTGATAATGCCTGCAACATAACAAATCTTACATTCTTGTTTTCAAGGACTTCTTGCTTCTGCTCGTGCTCGATCTCAGGAGCCTCGATGTCGTCAGGATGGATCCCGAGCTCCGGCCCTCGCATGGGCAGAGGGTCCAGGCTCTGCAGCACAAGATATTAGGCAAAACATGTTTTAGAAAAAAGTGTGTTTAATGAATTAGAATAAGTTAAATAAGATGCTACGAAAACTCGAGGTGATTTTCTGGTAATGTTAGGTGTTTACTATTGCTTTATCTGCTCATTTGTTTCTCCGTTATTGGATCAATGGCTCTATAAAGTGTCTCAAGACATAGTTCAGGATGACATCTTCGTTACTGTTCAATACCATTACCCAAAGATATTAAATTCACAATAAAATAATAGAGGTAAAAGCAGCAAATCCTCACATTGGAGAAGCTAGATCCAGGAAATGTTTAAATAAATCAATTACATGTTTTGAAGTGAAAATAACTTAATGATCCAAATAGTTGATGAATAGTTTTTCTGTCAATTCCCTTCTCAGTTCTGCTATAGTATTTTAACTGGACCTGTTTGATATATTTTTGATAGTAATCTCGTTTATTTTCTTGACTATTGCAGTTTATGTGTTTTTTTATTGTATGCACCAAACCAAAACGAATTCCTTGTAAGTGAAAACCTACTTGTCAATTAACCTTATTCTGACTAACCCGTTACTCTTAATTTTTTATTTATTTTGTTAATGAACAGTGTTACTTGCAGCTAAATGAATTGATGCCAAAGGCCTTATTTGATGATTACTGTGTTGAGATACATTTTAAGACATACCTAATAGCCTCCTAAAACACTTCTCTTTAATTATTCAAAAGCTTAATTGCTATGTGCACAACAGCTTCAGCTAAGTTGTTTACAATGCACATCTTAAAAACCCAGGCTCCTTCATCAATGCAACAAACAAAGACCTCAAGTATTGCAAGAAAAATGTCAATGTTGTTGTTCTTTTACAAAAATAAAATTATACAAGGCTACATAACACTCCCCTGTATTTTCTATATCATGTCTTTGACTAAAAACAACATCTGGTGTGAGAGAGGGGATGTAATCAACAGTGTGCAGCAACACTACAATGAGTGAAGGAGCCTCTAGCATCTGTCAGTACTCGCAATGGGTTAGATCTAAATACACAGCAGTTTAGTTGTGAGATTTTAAACTAACAAGCAGGAAACTCATTCAGTGTCTCACCACAGCTCTGAAAGCCTAGTTACAGCTTCTTTAATTCACATTATGGGCCTTTCTGCAGCTCAGTGGCCGCTCTGCATGTTTTTTGACTGAACACACGGAGAGGTCAAAGTGCTGACTAACACGGGTACCGGACTCTTTCTTACCCGGGCGTGGACGGTGCCCATGCTGAGCTCCGCAGGGCGCTTTCCCGGGAAATGTGGTCGAAAGTCTGCGTGGAAAAAGAGCCACCAATTTAACCTACAAGTAACCGGAGGAGAAAGGCGACGAGGCTCCAAAACGGGAGGCGGCTGCCGCGTCACTTCCTGACCACGCCCCTTCTGCTGGGCTGCGTTCAACACGACAACGCCGCAAACCGTTAAGAAAATCACGTAGAAATACAAGTTTACTAGCATTTTTCTACAAGTACTATTACTATGCTCAATATATATTACATTAAATTAAACTACATTATTATGGAAGGCTTGAGCTGCCATTGTAATAAATAAATAAAATGTATTCCGGAAACTGTTATATCTAAATGTATTTCTTTGTTATTATTTTATATATTAAGTAATTCTGGGTAGAAGACTTTGTCATCTGATCAGTGGTTTGATTTTAAAACACTAGGAAAGATGTATTTTATTATTGCAATATCAGAGTAAAACCAACCATTTAGGAGAAACTCCACAAGAATATATAACTGTTGACTTTAGTGTTTAAAAGCTGATGAATACTTGAACAAATACAACCCAAATCAGTATATTAGCAGTTTAATAACAAAAATAATACGAAATATGCTAAATGTACAAAACACAACTCCACATAAGGCCAAGTGTTAATGAACACATCCAAAATTCATATCAGCAGTATATTGTGGAATAAATGACACATCCGGTGAGTGGAAAATCACAAAAATGTTCACAGTTGTTCATATGTTGCTGAGCATCTCTGTAGGCCTTGCATCCTGTAACAACAAAACAATAAAACAGTGACATTTATAATATGGGGGATTTTAAAATGTTGGTAAATATAGTCATCGCTCTGCTGTTTATATTATATAAGCTGCTCTTACGCTTCGGTTTTGAAGGTTTCGTGGGATATCCTGTCTTCATTTGCACCGTCAGGACATTCATTAATGTCTTTAATGCCCAGTGTCATCAGAGCTGTGGAGGAAACATCTCTGAGTATTTATTTCAATTCATGGTGTCATGTTGCATTTTTCTTAAAGAAGTTAAAATATACACATAAATAGGCATTAAAAGTATTAAAAACAGTACTTATTGGTTCTAATAAAGAAAGAATGATTGAAGACCTATAAGCGAAATGCATTGAATTGGTTTTCTCGGTTTACCGGCTTAGACTAGCAGCCAATGTAAATAACATGAGTTCACATTAAAAGTGTGTGCATTGTCAATATCTGTGCACAAAATATACCTCATAGTGTCCCCTTCCTGTGCTTACCCTGCTTGTATTGGGTAAAAGTAATGTGTTTCTGATTAGTGGGGTCCAGGATCCCAAACACTGCGTCCAGGTTGGCGTTGTTGAACACATTTGGTCCTTTCATTCCGGTCTGCTGAGAAAACTTCAGCTGCTCCAGCTGCTCGATCAGAAACTCTCTGGGCTTCTCTGAGGAAAACATTCAATCACAAAGAATATGTTTTGTAGTTAATATGGAAAATAAATTGCTTTTCTCATTGTAAAGCTACATTTTAGTGAAAGTTTGCAACAAACAAAAATACTAATAGTCAGAGTAACATACAACTGTACAATATATAGTAAAAGAAATGACAATGCAACCCTATATTAAATTAAATACAATTTGTAAAGGACATCTTGTGTAATTGTGTCCTTTTACAAATCACCCGGAATGTGCTATGTTTATTGGTTATTATGTGTTTTTAATTCAGTGTATTAACCCTATATTTATTATTTGCACCGACACACAGACAAGCCAGAAAGAGAAATTCTAATCATGCACAGATATGGTTACTAAGCTAAAATGAGTGACTTAAAAGTGAACCAAAAACTAGCATATTTAAAATCAAGTTAGCTAGCTAGCTTTGCCAAAACATAGCGTTTTTAAGCACAGGGTGTAAATGTTTTGTTCTCTATAAGCTCTAACCGGGTCTGTGGAAGAAGAGCATGCAGCTCAGGTTGTCCAACAGCTCGATAATATTGTGTTTTTTTAGATATTCCGCGGCGTCTTCCTCTCTCTGCGTCGCCATCTTTCCCACTTTTGTTTTGACCTGTTGCTATGATACGCCAACGTCTAATGGTTGAGGGACGTGCGCACATTTTTTTTACGCATATTCAAATGTAATAAGGAGTTTGTGATGAACTAACAATCTTTAATGAATTTAAATTCGTACGAAGTTTCTCCTGTCGTTGAAATGGAACAAGATTAAACAAGTTATATATTCATTAATAACGTGGAAAGTTTGCTCGATTCCTGACCATTGTTTTCTATGAATTCGGTATTTTTAAATGATAAGGTCGTATTACATGTGAGGGACATTATTTCCAATATTACCTTGACATAACATATTTATTTTAACAGTTATATTAAGTGTATTTTTTGTTATCAAGTTGCCTGTATCACTCCAGGACATTGGGGCAAAAAAAGACACAAAATAATTACAATTTAATATGGATTGTAAATTTGATTTCTAACAAAAGTTTTACAGAGTATATTATTTGCAATCTTTCCTGACGCCGGTTATAATTGCAGTTAAAAAAAACAAAAATGAATTTTGAATGTCCATGTTTGTACTAGTGTTTTCCTTCTTAAAATGTTTTTGAAATATTTTGAGATTTGGTTGAGCAGGGTATACTTGTACTTTTTACTATAGTACAGCGGATAAGCTCTCATATTATAACAATTGTGCATTTTATGAGAAAAGCATGACATTTCTAACATAGTTAGAGCATACCATAAGGTTTATTTTCAGATGTGGAGGGAAGTCAGATTTGACCTGTGAGGACCGTGAGAGGTGGCCACCATCCAAGATGGCCACCAGTCTCTCGGGTCAAATGTTCAAACACGCTTCATTTTGGAACCAAACATTGTAGAAAAACATTTAAGGTGTCATATCCAACTAAATTAGGGATGCCCAATCATTTGGTGATACCTTTGAGATCGCCAGAATTAAAGAAAATGAATTTAGTTGAAGATAAAGGTAGAAATTGACCAAAAATAAACTGTCAATCAGTTGAAATTTGCTGTGTGTGTGTGTGTGTGTGTGTGTGTGTGTGTGTGTGTGTGTGTGTGTGTGTGTGTGTGTGTGTGTGTGTGTGTGGTATATTCCAGTGGATTTATGGTCACCCAGCACTAGCATTACTACAGAGACTGGAGGAATATGGCTTTACTTGGCACAGTCTGCATGCTGATGAAAACATTTGTTTTTGTCTTCAAATACATACTAACATGATTGTGACTAGCATCATATTTGTTCCCCGCCCAACTCTCTAAGTCTAAGTGCTTGAACTCCGTGACAGGAGGATGAAGTATGTATAAATGGATGGAACTATCAACAAAACAGCGTTTTATTCCCCAATGTCATATTTAATAGAAAAATAATAATAATAATGTAAACCAAAGAGGGAGATGGAAAACAGTTCCAGAGCACAAACAGCTCTCTTAACCCTCGCTGTTAACAAAGGGCTGCACTCAACTATAAGGTTCACCGCTGTCCCTTTCCACTTATAGAGGGTTGGGGTTCGATTCCCTGCCTGTCCACCTATAAAGCCAAGGTAGCGCAGCTTTTTTTCTGTTCTTTAGCGGCTCACATGGACATTTAGAGGTCATGCAAAGAAAGGGTTATGTATGTTGTGTGTGTGACAGAGAGTGCAGAGAGAACATTGGCAACGGGGATTTGTTTGTCCTAGCATGGCTGTACAATTACAAATACAAAGGTTTACCCATTTAGACTCCATGGTATGGAGAAAAAAACTCATTTTAAATGACTCTAAGGATATAACAAGTTTTAGAAAATTGAAAGATTGATGGATTTTTGCCCACATGCGGTAAACATCTTAATTGAATTTTCTATGTGCAACATGAGGACAATAACCACAAGTGTACTCACAGTACCTTTTTTCTCTGGCACTGAAGTTGCAAGGTTTCAGCATGTTGTCCCTCTCTAAACCTTTCTGTTCCCCATTCTTCTTTCTCCAATAAGTGGTGCATCATTATCTTTCTATTAAATATGACATTGGGGAATAAAACGCTGTTGTTTTGTTGATAGTTCCATCCATTTATACATACTTCATCCTCCTGTCACGGAGTTCAAGCACTTAGAGAGTTGGGCGGGGAGCAAATATTATGCTCGTCACAATCATGTAAGTATGTATTTGAAGACAAAAACAAATGTTTGCTTCAGCATGCAGACTGTGCCAAGTAAAGCCATATTCCTTCAGTCTCTGTATTAATGCTAGCGCTGGGTGACCCCACACACACACACACACACACACACACACACACACACACACACACACACACACACACACACACACACACACACACACACACACACACACACACACACACACACACACACACACACACACACACAGCAAATTTCAACTGATTGACAGCTTATTTTTGGTCAATTTCTACCTTTATCTTCACCTAAATGCATTTTCTTGAATTCTGGCGATCTCAAAAGTATCATCAAATGATTGGGCATCCCTAATTTAGTTGGATATGACCCCTTAAATGTTTTTCTACAATGTTTGGTTCTAAAATTAAGCGCGTTTGAACATTTGACCCGAGAGACTGGCGGCCATCTTGGATTTGACCTCTCACGGTCCTCACGGGTCAAATCTGACTTCCCTCCACATCTGAAAATAAACCTTATGGTATGCTCTAACTATGTTAGAAATGTCATGCTTTTCTCATAAAATGCACAATTGTTGTGCTTATCCGCTGTACTACTAGTCCTTTTATTAGAGATGTGTCTGTTGTTTGTGTTTGTTTTTAGAGTGTGTCAGGATGGATCCCTTGTCTTTTTCTCTGCAAACAAAATCTACCTACGGTACAAATAAATAACCTGAAACATATTTTCATGTTTCTCAAAGGTGTCACTCATTTTTACCCCAAAGCAATGACAAAGGTTTAGAATGATATTTTTTATTATAAAAATGTTGTATATTTAGGGAAAAACAAACCAAAAGATTGACTTTTGAGTAGAACAGAATAACTTACAGTTACAGTGTGTTCATGAAGCGTTCTCTTACACATTTCATCACTTGGTTTGAAAGTACTAAGACATTCAATAATGATAAATTAACAATAGTTGTACAAACCAAACCATCTTATTCCAGAGAGGATCCTTATCCCATGGAGCCAGGCGCCAACAGTTTGGCATGTTATTCCCCTTTTGTTTGCACAGAAAATATCCATTTGCAGATGACCCAGACATGACTTTACTCCCAGGAGAGTGGCAACTTCAAAGATTGGAAATAATCTGCTGATTGAGCGTCCGTCACACAGAGGAAGTGTAATTCCAGATCAGTCCACTTTGTGTTGTGCTTTAAACTCCTCTATCGCAGCAGCAGCAGCTTCTTGTCTGAGTTTGTAGCCCTGCAGCTCCGTTATAAGCTCCCCGGGCTTTGGTGGGGTCTCTGGTATACTCTGAAAAATACAAATAAAACAGTAAGTAATGTCAAACATACACTGAAGGAGTGGGGCTGTTTGGTTGGGTGGTGTTGTGTGTTTTCCTCCCATGCAAAACTGTTTAACTATTAATCATTTGACGGCAAATTAATGTATGTTCTGCAGCTCCACCACCAACATTAGATAGGGTGTTTTAACACATCATCACAACAGTAAATCTTTAGTATTGACTTTACCACAGTAGATGAAAAACAGTGAATGAATGAAAAAAACTGGACACTGTGAAATACTTTGCGTACTATGTCACACATTTGATGTATTCTATTTTCATTGTTATTTTATTATGAAGTAGGTGGTATTTCTTTAGTCATCTTATTTAACCCATAAGGACCCACCGGGACACGGGTGTCACATGACCTTTAAATGTTCTGGAAAGTTCCTTATACAGCTTTAGCCTTGTTTTTATCTCATGAAGTCCCTAAGTGACACACACTGAACAGTCTGGTGGGTCCTGGTCCAGGTCATGTGATTTTGTGTTCCCATGACAACATGTCCAAGATGTCCATGTGCCAGACTAACACATGTGACCGAACTAGCTACATTTCAAAAGCTTTTTTTTTGTTGCTAAAAGGTAAAATTCAAGCCATTTAAGAATTCAAATGCTTACATAACCAGGGTATATGCAGGAATCCTGAAGTCAAATGTAATACCTTTTAAGACCTTTTAAGACCCTTTCCATACATTTTAAGACCTCATCGCCACTTGGAGTTCTAACCGGTTACATTGGCGACACACTTTACCTCACATTTACTATATACAGTATTGATTGTCCTTCCTCCTTATCTTCCAACCATTTGGACGCAGACTTGCATTTCTCCATAACGATGTTGTTTAACAACCGGAGTAAACGGACCTTCACGCGCTATCAAGCAGTGAGCGTGCGATGTCCTGTTCAGATGACGTCAAATCCAACGGGATGCCATAAATAAACTACACAGAATCACACTACACACCTACGCAATGATTACATTCAGGCAGACTGTAGAATACAACCTCTTTGGACAATTTATATACTTATTGAAAACAAGCTACACAATGTAATACCTTGGAAAATGCCGTTTAATACTTTTTAATAGCCTTCATTTTCGCTAAATTGATTTATCAACTTTTAATACTTTTTAAGACCCCGTGGACACCCTGATAACATGTCCTTTATTACATTTAACCTGTTGTGGAAACATTTCTTGATCAAATTGATATGAAACAAATGAGACAAACATCGCTGTGACACTGGTGTCACATCGGGACTTTAACCCTAAACTTTCACAGTAAACCCAAAGTGACATATATGCACAATTAGAAATATGATTATGATCTGCTCAGTTAATTTAGCTGATTCAATTATATTGAGTTGATATGTTCTTATTCTTCAATTCAAAGAATGTTCAAACTAATTTAAACCAAAAAATCATCCTCATTAATGAAGTTATATATAAGAGTTATTTTACCATTAAAGCCCAATGTGACATACATGTCACATTTCAGATATTTGACACTAGGGGGGGGGGTTCTTGTCAGAAATGTGTTCTAGGTGGTCTATTTAGTCTAAAT